AAGACTCCTACCAGGGAATAAAAGACAGTAGAATTCACATGCTCCATCATACAATCTGTGCTCTGGACTCTGGTCCTTCCCTGACCCGGAGCTCCAATCTGGGAGCCTGCTGAAGACTCCTTTGGCGACAGGAATTTAAGGAACATAGACAACGGGTGGCGTTTACAAGACTGACCAGCCCATTGACATGTTTTTATTCCCATGCAGCCCGCATACCCAAGAGGAGGCGGACGGGTGATTTCAATAGGCCCATATGACCTTAAAGCCCACCACGCAGGAATTCAGTAGAGTCGAGTCGTTGTTGGTGGCTGGTCCCCGCTTTGCACTTTACACGTCTAGACTTATTTTACTTATTGTAAGGGCTCCGCCCGGGTGCCGCCGACCCCTTTTCAAGTGATATGTCCCCACCCGTAGGACTGTGGGGTCGTTAGATTTTTAGAACTTTGGACTTCAGTACGTCCGGTAGCCCAACGTAGCTCTTCCACAGCACACTGGCCAAAGTGACCCCTGAGTAGCGCAACTGAGTAGCGCAACTTAACTCTTCCATAGCACACTGGCCAAAGTGATCCCCGAGTAGCGCAACCTAGCTCTTCCACAGCACACTGGCCAAAGTGATCCCTGAGTAGCGCAACTTAGTTCTTCCACAGCACACTGGCCAAAGCGATCCCTGAGTAGCGCAACTTAGCTCTTCCACAGCACACTGGCCAAAGTGATCCCCCAGTAGCGCAACTTAGCTCTTCCACAGCACACTGGCGAAAGCGATCCCTGAGTAGCGCAACTTAGCTCTTCCACAGCACACTGGCCAAAGTGATCCCTGAGTAGCGCGAGTAGCGCAATTTAGCTCTTCCACAGCACACTGGCCAAAGTGATCCCCGAGTAGCGCAGCCTAGCTCTTCCACAGCACACTGGCCAAAGTGATCCCTTCTTCCACAGCACACTGGCCAAAGTGGTCCCTAAGTAGCCCAGCTTAGCTCTTCCACAGCACACTGGCCAAAGTGGCCCCTGAGTAGCGCAACTTAGCTCTTCCACAGCACACTGACCAAAGTGGTCCCTGTTCACCAAAGTAATCCCGGAGTAGTTCAACGTAGCTCCTTGACAGCACACTCACAAAAGTAATCTCTGACTTGTTCAACTTAACTCTTCCACAGCACGCTCGCCAAAGTGATCCTTGTTCACCAAAGTAATCCCTGAGTAGTTCAACGTAGCACTTCCACAGCACAGTCACCAAAATGACCTCTAAGTATTGACACCACATTCACCAATCTGATCCCTGAGTAGCTAAACCTAGCTTTTCCACTGCAAATTCACAAACTGATTTCTAAGTAGCTCATCTTAGCTCTTCCAAAATGCCTAACGTCGCCTTCGGAAGCCCATAAGAAGAGAGGAGGCAGGCTTCGGACAGGCCACAGAGAGCCCAGGCTTCGGACAGGCCACAGAGAGCCCGCAAGAGGCCTGCCGGCTGCCGAGAGGGGTTTGGGGGGGCGGTCCAAAATGCCTAACGTCGCCTTCGGAAGCCCATAAGAAGAGAGGAGGCAGGCTTCGGACAGGCTTCAGAGAGCCCGCAAGAGGCCTGCCGGCTGCCGAGAGGGGTTTGGGGGCGGTCCAAAATGCCTAACGTCGCCTTCGGAAGCCCATAAGACGTCGCCTTCGGAAGCCCATAAGAAGAGAGGAGGCAGGCTTCGGACAGGCCACAGAGAGCCCGCAAGAAGCCTGCCGGCTGCCGAGAGGGGTTTGGGGGGGGCGGTCCAAAATGCGTAACGTCGCCTTCGGAAGCCCATAAGCAGAGAGGAGGCAGGCTTCGGACAGGCCACAGAGAGCCCACAAGAGGCCTGCCGGCTGCCGAGAGGGGTTTGGGGGGGGGCGGTCCAAAATGCCTAACGTCGCCTTCGGCAGCCCATAAGAAGAGAGGAGGCAGGCTTCGGACAGGCCACAGAGAGCCCGCAAGAGGCCT